TGTGGAAATGGAAAATTATAGAAGGGGTAAGTGGAGAAATACAGACAGTGGTTTGGCAGGGTGAGTTGGGACAATGGACATTTGGCAGCTTGGTATCATTGCATTTTGTTTAGCAAAGAGTCAGCATGAGAGCCCGGGGAGGTGGCCTAGTGCAGGTGAAAGCCAGACTAAAGTTTACTAGTCCAAAATAATAGACTTAGCACTATGTTCAAGAACTCCTTTGTGCTGTGTGGGAATTCACAGTTTCCATAATGTTATAAAGCTTCACTTAATATAACGATTTCACATTTAAAAAGAGATGAAAGTATCATTAGTTGAAATATTTCTAGTTATTTTATGATGGAAATTATTCAGATATAAAATATTTAGATATTAAAAAATATATTTTGGGGTGGCATAATCATAGAGAGCTAGAATGTACTGGGCATCCTCGTGGTAAAGTAACGCAGATGCTAAGTTGCTCTTGAGAACGTTCTACTTTCACAGTAGAGAAATTCATTAAAGCTAATGCTGGTAACCCTGAGTCATCAAAGAAAACATTCAATTTTGCTTAGTAATCTCCATCTATGAAAGCAGGAATCTAAAGATTTAGATGGCAATTTGGTTTTTTTTTCTTTTATAAATCACTAAGGTTGGGTGCTGGAAAGCTTTGTTTACACAGAACTTTATGCAAGTTCATCTCTTTGTGTGGATTACATTTTATACTTCTCTAAAACACATTTGAAACATAACAATGCAACATGGAGGAACGTATTAAAAATGGGACAAACTATGTTAATCATTTTTCTTGGTTATTTTGCTATTGTCAACTTTATTTGGTGACATACTAGAAAGAGAATAGGCTTTGGATGCAAACACCCAATCTATCATAGCTGAATGAATATATGTTCTCCAGTTAACTTAATATCTCACAGGCTCATTTTCAACATTTATAGGACATAATGCTTACATCTGGTGTATTCTGTGAAGAGTCATTGAGATATGAAGGAGATATAAAAGTATGTAACACATGACAGTCCCTCTGCATCAGTTTTTTATTTTTGTGCAATTCAATTTACCTGAATTGGTGTTTTTCTAACTATCATGTAATATGTTTTATTATAATTCTCTGTGTATTTGTCTTTTATTCCCAACAGAACATAGACTTTTCAAGAGATGAACCATAATTTAACTTTTTATTTCTATTTCCTAAAAATGTGCCCTTCTCCTCCTCCATCTTCCCAAGTATTTAAAGTAAATTGTTCAAAGGTCCTTAAGTAGATTCACACTACTACCCGGGATATTCATCCATCAAAACTGACATACTGTAGTTAAAATTTAAATAATAGAATTTCATTGCAAAAATATGTCTTTAAATTTATAAAATATCTGTTTTATGTGAATGGGAAATATAATTTATGTGCCTTTTTACTAATGATAAGATTTTCATGTTTCTTTGAATTAAAAATAAAAAAAAGAACCAATGCTGAGTAGCACCTGTGGCTCGGAAGGGTAGGGAGCCAGTCCCATATGCCAGAGGTGGCAGGCACAAATCCAGCCCCAGCCAAAGATGGCAAAAAAAAAAAAGCTTTTAAAATAACTTTTATTTTTGAGCTAATTGTAGAGTCTATAAGTTGTAAGACACACAGGGAGATCCAGTATACTCTTCACTCACTCCCCCTCAGAGGTTCTTTCTTTTAATTGGCATTTAATTATGCATCAAAGTACACATATATGGAACTATAAGCTATTGGTTTAATAATCCCCCCAAAAAAATAAATAAATTCTGGAGCTCCTATCCAAAAATAATTTGACAGGCAAACTTCCTCACCAAAAAATGGAAAGAAGTCGTAATGATTCCTTTTGAAAAATGGGGAAGTCCTCTAGACTTCAGTCCCCCAGAAAGTGACTTTCACATTCACAGATGTTTATGATAAATGCAATCATTGTCCATTACCCATGAGACTATCAAATTATAACTTACTCTCCATATCATGCACCCCAAAATTTATTTTCAAAATTTGAAAGGGCCTCAAATTATCTAGATCTTTCCTCTTTTTATTTTGAAACAATAATGCTAGACCTTTTTGAGCTAGCCTGAACTAGTTGCAGAATGGAAAAGATGGTAGGTTGATTTTTTGAGTTCCTGTATCAGGCAAAGCAGAAAGAAACTCAGGGGTACCTGAGCTGAGTGTTGTCCACCACGTGCAGTACACGCTCCTTGATGGAAATAACCCATCAAGGATTTCGTAATATTTATATCATGTTTTTCCTTCTGTCTACTCAGTCTGTCTCTTCAGTTTATTCTTACTATCTTTCCATTCACCTTCAAAAATCTCAGTCTGTCCCTCGCTCAAAGTCAGCTTTCATTCTTCGTTCTATTAACTATGTCTCCAAAGCATGTGTAGGGAATGTCTTGCAATTTACTGACCATATTTACTTGCCTCTTGGGCAAACAAAGTAAGCAGCAGCCTAAATATTTTACCTAAAATTTTACCTCCTGCTCTGCTCTTTATCTTCTGCTTGTGACATGTATTGGATTTTGTTCTCGGAAACAGACGTCATTCTCTGTGGCACATCATTTTTCTTGGGAAGCATAGCACATTAAGTCATTACAGACAATTATCTTGATGAGTCATTTAGTCAGATGGTCAGATGGTTTTCCAACACGTTTTCCATGAGACAATGGAAGAGGGGGAGATTTGATGGAGAATCAAAGTAGTCAGGGAAGGAGAGCAGGTGGCCTGAAAGTCAGAGGCTCAGGTGAACTATATCACCTTATCATCTTATGTCTGAGTTAACTTAAGTATCTTCTGTAATCAAGAATAACAATACCTCCTTAGAAGGCTTCTATGTGAATTAAAGAGATAAACTACAAGAAAGTACTTTTAAAAATATGTAAATAAATGTATTTGTGTGCATATACTTTGAGGGTAACCAGCAAAAGGGAAAGGATATTAAAAATACAAGTACAATAGAACTTCTGTAAATTGATCACCCAAAGGACTGTAACTAAATGTTCAACACACAGGTGGTCAACATGAGGAACATGGCCTGCTGTACTACCTGTACATGTGATGCGTGTCTATGAGATGTAGGTCAATTTAAGGAGATGGTCAGTGCAGGGACGTGGTCAACCATGCAGGTTCTACTGTACTGTGTCCTTCATCCTTTACAATTTTTTCTTGGCTTTTGAGCCCTCTCTTCTAATAGAAAGGAGCACTCTGGTAGGTCAGAGACTTCCTATGGGTACGTAGATAGAAAGGTACATGGAATGTAGTCTTGGCATATGTCCACTTTGTAGTAGGGGAATTCAAGCATTTCTATTAATCTCCATCACGGCTAACCTGTCAAAGTAGAAAGGGAAAGAAAACATTCATCTCTAGGAAATAAGCCACCATTCTATCCATAAGGGATGAGTATACACATACGGCTAGTGGACTGCATTTAGGATGATGAGTAATGCATGATAAATGATAACTTAAGACCAACTTTCATTTTATGGGCTAAGCCAATGGCAGTTTGTATGTTTAAGATTTATATAGCCCACTGAGGCAGTTTCCAACCTAGAACTATTGAAGGAAGATTTCTCCCTAAAAGTATAATTTTGGAGATATTAAGCTCTAGACAAATTCTATTCATTTTTTGTATTATCTCATTTTGATCTGTGCAGTAAGATTATGAAGGAGGGATTATGATGTTGCTTGTTTTGCAAACAAATTTGAGACTTGGAGCAGTTCATAACTTCTTCTGTGGACCATTTACTAACAAATGCAGAACCAGGAGGCAAACCTAGATATTCTGGCTCCAGGGGATACATGCTCATTGCAATGCCTTTTCTCTACTTTGAGAAAGCTTTCCTGAGAGTTATAAAATAAGTAGTTTTATTTTCTGAGGTTTTCTTAACCTAGAATGGGCAAGCCCTTTGAGTAGAATATCAAATGCCTTTCTTATACCTATCTACAAACTTGGCAGAGAAAACGCACAATTAAGACCTGTGCGTGAGGGGAGAAAGGCCTCTTGTCTACTAGTTACCACTTCCTTCAATTTTCTTTTCTTTCTAGGAAAAAAAACCCCAGCATTTTAAAATGCTGGTGGATTTTCCCCCAGACCAGAATAGTCATTCTGCTATTTTAAAGACAGTGTGGATATTGGCATTAGTCCCTCTGCATCTCAGAATGTCAACACATTTGTCAAAAGTGAATTTACCAGTTAAATGTGGCCAAGAGATTTAGTTTATCCAAGTGTTCTACAAAAGAAATAGTTGACCACTGTTTTTCCTGATCAAGGTAATCTGACATATTATTGACATATGTTGTAGATTTACTTTAATCCCATAGTATAGATATGGGCTCTGATAAGTTATTGTGAAATCTAGGTTAAGAGGAGAAGAGTTGTTTCAATATTTATGGGGTTGAAAATGCAGGGTTAGCAAAGGAAATGTTTTAATTGAAACAATATTTTCCTATATATGTTCAGAATAAAATGAAGGGGAATTCTTTTAAAGCTTTCCTGCTTGTTTTCATATATTTGCTGGGTTCTTAGATACATCAAGAATGTTGCTTGGATTTTTTCCCAATATATTTTTTTTAGACTTTTGTTTTTAGAACCATCAAAAAATAAACTCAGATCTTTGAGGATTCTCCATACTTCTCGCCAAAAACTATATTAGTTTGCAATCCCACCAGCAGTGTAGAAGTGTTCCCTTCTCTCCACACTAACACTGGCATCTGGGGTTTTGGAACTTTGTGATGTGGGCTAATCTTGCTGGGGCTAGGTGCTACCTTAGAGCAGTTTTGGTTTGCATTTCTCTGATGATTAAAGATGATAAGCCTTTTTCCACGACCCCTGGGTGAAGGGCTTGTCTACAAATGGAACTTTGCTCTGGAATTGAGAACAATGTAACTTAGGGATTATACCCCCACATTAATTAAAAAAAAAAAAATTTTTTTTTCTTTTACTTTTTTCAACTAAATTTGTATGATTTCTTATACGTAGGCCTTTCTCATTGTATATTTTAGGTATCCTGGAGATAACCTCAGTGGAAATTGGAGTTGTTGCCGTTAAAGCCATTAACAGCAACTATTACTTAGCCATGAACAAGAAAGGGAAACTCTATGGCTCAGTAAGTATTCTGCTTTTGTTTTCAAATCCACTGCAGTAAGTCATTACCACAGTTTTGTTAATGTTTCCTCCAAACATTAAATAGCTTTGTTATCATTCTATTGCAAGTAAATAGAGACACAGTGGGCTGTTCACCAGCTTTTCAAGAGCTGGCAAAGTAGCTCTTCCACTCTCTAATCTCCTCTGTTGTTCACCCATTAGTCTACCACACAAGCTGTTACTGGCATTTGTCTAAATGTTCTGAACTGCTAACCAGTCAGACTCTCACGGAAGCATCTGGTCACATTGGCACAGGAACTGCAGACAACTTGGAGAAGAATCATTAAAAACAAAGACCTTGAATCAAGCAGAAAACCATGTGCTATGTGTGTGCTGCAGCTGAAGTTAAAACAAGGGCTCAGATGTTTTGTGTTTTGTTAAAATCTGAAATGGGAAAACATATCAAGAAATTCATCATTTTGCACGTTGTTCTATCAACTCTAGGATTTTTATTTATCTAGGCCATAGTCGTTAATTGAAATCATGCTAAACATCATATATATGTGGAAATATTATCCCATGCAACAAAGTGTGTGTGGAACAAGTATCCAACCAGTATTTTCAGTACATCCATCCTGTGTTCCATACCAGTATGTGGAATATCAATCACCTCTGCAATCTTGGGTCACAGTCATTTGGACCAATTGTATTAGCCTAAGCTCTCACTTAAAATAACAAATGGTGATTTTGGAATTAAAATTAAAATTGTAAGGTGGTGCCTGTGGCTCAGTGAGTAGGGGGCCGGCCCCATACACTGAGGGTGGTGGGTTCAAACCCCACCCTGGCCTAACTGTGACAAAAAAAATAGCCAGGCATTGTGGTGGGCACCTATAGTCCCAGCTACTCAGGAGGCTGAGGCAAGAGAATCGCCTAAGCCCAGGAGTTGGAGGTTGCTGTGAGCTGTGATGCCATGGCACTCTACCAAGAGCAATAAAGTGAGACTGTCTCTACAGGAAAAAAAAGTTATAATGGTAGTTATAATGAAGTTATAAAGAGTGCAACAATTTATTTTGTTCAAGTTTTTAAAAGAAATATATCAACCAATCATATCAACATCTACTATATGCCAGGTATCGTTTGAGATATCGAAGGTGAATAAGAAAAAAATGCATAAGAAAGAAATATAAGAAGTGGGCTTTGACTCCAAATAATTCATTTCCAATAATTTATCTAGGAAAAAGTGTGAAATAATTACAGAACGTTTAAGTGTTAAATATAAAGGACCAGCAGTAGTAGAGCCACCCTGTGATACGGTTGGGAACTAAATTTTCATTTCTTATTTAGCATTATTGATGACAGGAGTGGATCAGTTTATGAAGGTGGTTACATTTCATTGTGTTGGTCCAAGAAATAAATCAAGGAAATTCAAACTATTTAAGTTTTTTCCTTTGGTTCCTTTGATTTCTTTTGATTCTATGTGAGTACATTGAAGCCAGCTATAAACTTGATCTTTAAAAATGTTTAGTTGCATGTTTTGGAAGGATGTATAACAATATTCTGTGGCCAGAAATAAGACCTATGACACAGATCTCTTAAATTATCTTTTTTTCCAACCAGATCTCAGGTCATTTTTATATTGCTTTTAGGATCAAAAGAAATTTCAGAATTTATTTTGTTCATTAGCATAAGCTTGATTATAGTGACTGTTTAGAGGGAGTAACTCTCAAACTTGAGTATGCATCAGAATCAATGGAAGTGTTTATGAAAAGACAGAATGATGGGGCCCATGCCTAGATTTTCTGATTCAGCAAGTCTATGGTGGGGTTCAAGGATTTCTTTCCTTTTCTTTTTTTTCTTCCTTCCTTCCTTCCTTCTTTCTTTCTTTCCTTTTTGGAGATGGGTTTCATTCTGTTGCTGGGGCTAGAGTACAGTGACATCACCATAGCTCACTGTAACCTCAAACTCCTGGGCCCCATTGATCCCTCTGTTTCAGCCTCCCCAGTAGCTGAGACTACAAGCACAAACCAACATACTTGGCTAATTTTTCTTTTAGAAATGGAGTCTTGCTTTGTTACTCAGACTTGTCTTGAATCTTGGCTTTAAGTGATCCTCCTGCCTTGGCCTCCCAAACTGCTAAGATTACAGGTGTGAGCCACCATGCCTGGCCTAGTGATTTGCCTTTCTAATGGTCCCTGGTGCTCCTGATGCTGCTGGTTCACTAACCACAATCTGACATACATTAGACTTGCATTTTTTCATATCAGGTCCACTTTTAACTGGAGAGTCAGGAATGCTTTTGGTATTCCCTTTGGCTAGTATAAATGCTTTTTGCATGGGGGTCAGAAGAATTTTAGGTAAATTTCTCCATTATGCATTGCTCCAATAATGAGCCTTGAAGAGTAACAGACCATTTTAAAAAGCAGCTTCGTGTAGATGTTTGCATCATAATCACTTTGAGACATTTTTTGGCTTTTGTTATATATACCTGGGCCACTCTTTGATCTACTCTATCAGGGTTACTGGGGAAGAGGCCAGGTATATATTCTTTAAAGAGATACTGATGTACACACACTTAGTGAAAAACCAATACTTTAAAGCCAGCTAACATTAATTTAATTTAAATTTAAATTAAGGAAGAAAATGTAAATAATTTTAATTTATAAAATATCAAAATAATTTTATTAATAGTTGACAAAATACACTTACTTAAAGACATGACATCAAGGAAATGGATGACTTAGATGAACTCTGATATAAAAATATTTAGTACTTTCCCTCCCATTTCTCCACTTTTTTCTTCTACCCCAACCAGTCTATGAATTCTGCTTGTACTTCCTTTTGAGTGGTAAGCTCTATAAATTATTTCCTTCCATCTTTTTATCTGAAGTGGATGCCCTGTAGCTTTCTATTATATTGCCCTGTTTTAATTCTCTGTAGTGGCACCGATGGAAGATTCTTTTTTTTTTTTTTTTTGCAGTTTTTGGCTGGGGCTGGGCTTGAACCTGCCACCTCATGCATATGGGGCTGGCGCCCTACTCCTTTGAGCCACAGATGCTGCTCCCAATCTGAGATTCTTCTCAGTGTACCTGTTGCTGACTGTCTTCTCCCGGTAGGCTGTGACCTTAGTGAAGGCAGGGCCAGCTTTATGTCTACTATCTGTTCAGCACTTAGCACCATACAGAACACAGAGTTAAACAGTGCACAACCTACCTCTCCTGGCAGCTCAGCCCATTAGAGAACAAGCTTTCCACTTCCAGGCTGTCTCAGAAAGAAATTTATTCCCTAAACACAGGGTTCTGCTTTTGGAATTTTGTATTATTACCAGAAATAGTGAAAATTGGATGCTTGTTCAGAGTATACCATCAAATATCATGAATACAGACTCATGAATGTACATAATTTTCTATACCAGGTGATGGTTTTTGCGATTGCTATCTTCATTTTATTTCATTGATTTCCTAAGCTTTCCTAAAAGTCTCAATTGGGGAAACACTCAGACTGATTAATTAAACCAGCTCGCTATCTATTCTTTCTTGAATTATTTTCTTCTATTTCTTTCTGGTAACTGTGTATCTTTCTTATATTTTCATTATTCATTCTATGAACGTTATATCTGTTGTATTCTGAGCTTTCTACTGACTGATGGATTATGTAATTAACTTATAAAACTGAATTAAATAGAATAGATAGTCAAATTTCCCAGGTAGCAGGAAAAAATTCGGACTTTTTCCAAATGACCAAAATCTTGCTTTTGAGACCTTGCTCAAAGCACGTCTCAAAATTCAGGTCTGACTTGGACTTTTCTACTTTTTTAACGGTAGTACTTAAGATTCACCTAGATCCTATAAATCAGAATTCCTAGGGTCCTGGCTCCAGAGATTCTTATCATTTTGACCTCTGTCCCAAGGCTTAAAAAACACCCAAAATGAAGAAGCTAGCCCAGAGGAACTTCACTATAAGAAACAGTATCCTATAAATTAATTTTGAGGAGGAAAAGAGTTAAGCACCCACTCCCACTTTTCTACACACAGCTTTGTCTCAAATATGAAATCACTTGGAATAATCTCAACCCTCTTTTAGTATAAAAATTGCATATCCTTTATTAAAATGAGTGTAAGTATCCCTATTAAAGAAATAATCCCCTATGCTTCAAAACTATATAGTTTTAGACAGAGCGAGATGAATAAAGAGAAAAGAAATAAATCCACACTAAGGATATGAATCCTTTCCAATGCAGAATTTGTTTTGTTTTATTAAAATCCATACCTTAAATAATTTACCTTTATTTCTTACTTTCAACAAATTAAGTCATCATTTGAATGATACATTTAAATACTTCCTTACAGAAGAGAAGCTTATAGGACTAATTTATTCTAGGGAAGGAAGCTTAAACTGGTAACAACACAAAATATGCCTGCTTGTGATGGCTCTGATAACGTTCAAAGTTATAATCAATACACACATTCAAGAATTCAGAATTTAGTAGAAATTTCGAAAAGTCTCAAGGTCAGAAAAATTCTTCCATAGAGAACTCAACTACAGTATGCCCACAGGACTCTTGGTTTGGATAAAGAAGGTGGATCTAGATTTGATTACAATTCAAGCCCCAAATCTTTAGCTTCTTAAGTATTTTAATTTGGGTATAAGAGGAGAGGAATATTTCTGAACCTAAGTCTGGAGATCACTGTACCTCCCCTTTGTTAACTTCAGGGGAAGATCCTAGACTTGTGGAGTGAATGAGAGTGAATCTTTGTCCCATCACCTCTCCTAAAACCTTTTGACCACCTGAAACAAAGTCAAAAAGCTGTGGCTATCAAGTGGAATTTCCCAGGATTTAAGTCTTCAGCCTTATCAACGCAGGCGTTGCTAGTCACCAGGTTCATAATTTCTTTAACATGGTAGATAACAAAACAAGGCGTTCTGTGTCCTAGTTTTCAGTCATTCCTGGAATTCAGAGAAAAATCTATTCACATCCCAGGTTATGGAAAATTGTAGATAATTTAGTAAAACTGAGAAATGTGGAACTTGGAAAAGAGGCAGATGTCTTCCCTTTTCAGTGACATAGAATTATTTTGGTTTTACTATAATGTCTTCTTTCTTATCAATACATGGATGTGCATGAAATATGAATTTATAGGTGATGTTTACAAACTTCATAAGCCCACATTCTTCCCACTGTTCTGTTTTCCCCATGCGACACCTGGCTATCACTATAAAAGATTCTTTATTACTTATTCATCACAAATACTGTTAGTAGTTGCCTGCTTCTCGACAGTCATTCTGTGGTTTCAGTGCCCGGAATGACTGTCCAAAGCACAGCAGCTTTTTGAAAAGGGCCTCTGTAGTTGGCTACGATGACTAATGGAAATATATCTTGTGCTTTCAGACACACACTATTGTGTGGTTATGAGTTGTACTCTTCTGCTGTTGACATTATATATTAAGTGCATGACTTATGTACAAATGGCAACTAAAAGCAACACTCTTGAACTGGAATTCTCTAGCTAGTCTAGATCAAATAGAATCAAGTATCACCATAGAAATGAAAGATTATGTTTTTCCTTTGCAGAAAGAATTTAACAATGACTGTAAGCTGATGGAGAGGATAGAGGAAAATGGATATAATACCTACGCATCCTTTAACTGGCAGCACAAAGGAAGGCAAATGTACGTGGCATTGAATGGAAAAGGAGCTCCAAGGAGAGGACAGAAAACCCGAAGGAAAAACACCTCAGCTCACTTTCTTCCGATGGTAGTCCAGTCATAGAGGAAGGTGATGACTGTAGATGCAGTGGAACCAAAGGGTCTTTGGCCAGGAATAGTTGCTATTCTTCATGAAGACAGTAGTTGGAAAAGCAAAGACACATTGCAGATGTCTGCTTGCTTAAAAGAAAGCAAGCTTTTGACAGCTTTGCTGCTGTATATGATGTCCTTTTCATTAATTCTGTGTCATGCCTCATAATCAAGATATAAGCAGATCAATGGGATGGAGATTTAAACGAACAACATTGTGGCTGGGTTTTTTTTGTTAAGTTTTTGTTTTTGAACCTCTGAGATAGAACATAAAGGACATGGAACAATCTGTTGAATGATCTTCGGGAAAAGTTATTTATGGAATACGAACTCATATCAAAGACTTTCATTGCTCATTCAAACCTAATGATTCCGTGAGCAGTAATAACACGCAAGCATTTACTGGAAAGCATTTGGGTCATCTATGCACAACCAAAGGAGTTTTGGGTGTGGCATTATGGAAGAATTGGATAGGATTAAAAAACATAAACATGTTAGTGTGAAACTGTTCTAACAATCTGACTAGTATCGTATGCTTGTGCATTCTGCCTCCATCCCTTTCTATTTCTTTCTAAGTTATTTATTTAATAGGATGTTAAATATCTTTTGGGGTTTTAAAGAGTATCCTCAGCAGTTGCCCTCTGATTTATCTTTCCTTTTTCTTCAGCACATCACCTGCATGTCCATGACCATGTTTTTAAAACTTGGCAAGCACTTCAAAAGTAGGAGATGAGATTAGGGAAGCAATAGGAGTGACCCATGTGCTGTCAGTGGACTAAGTTGGCACTTCTGCAGAAAGACCCATCCACGGTAAATATGGCAGTGCTGTCCCGTGGTTTGAGTGAAGATAGCTGCCTTTAAAAACATATATTACTCCTGAGGCTTCCTTGTCTAAGAAATAGACCAGACGGCCAAATTCTTCTCTTTTGATACATCGATTTGCTTCTAAGAATACACACAAAGAAGGAAAATGAATTGGTAAATACAACTTCATATCTTCGCCTCATTATTTACTAGTGATTTTTTTGCCTTATGTCACAGTGGCAAATGATGAAGAGGCTGTGTGTGTATATAAGAACCCTTTGTAAGTCCCACATAATGCATCTCCCCGAAGGAATGATCAAGGAATTTAGTATGAAGTGCAACTCTTCTGGGGCTTAAACTGAGCAAATAGGTCCTGATATGTGTGTAATCATGTACGAAAACCTGTTCCAGTTGTATGATCTAGTCTTTACAAAACCAAACAAAAGTTATTTTCTGTAAATTTAAAGAGCTTTAGAAGGTTCCATATTGTAACGATATTGGAATTCATTTTGTTAGAGCAGGTATAGAAAACAGTACATAAGAGTTTACCAGTCATCATCACATTGTATTCCACTAAATAAATACATAAGCCTTATTTGCAGTGTCTGTAGTGATTTAAAAAATGTAGAAAAATATTATTTGTTCTAAATACTTTAAGCAATAAACTATAAGAGTATATTGATGCTGCAATTTTATCCTCCTATTTCTTGTTTTGAAAAAGTCTGTTTATTTTTATTGTTTGGATGCAGTATTTTGGCATAAGGAAAAGACTCACTAATGTGTCTTTTAACAAAGTTTGACCTCTAGAAAGGCTGGTGTTTTGTGATTCTCTTGTAACTTATTTGTGTCAATGCTTAACCAGCACTTCCAGTTAATCTGTTATTTAAAAATTAGCTTTATTAAGTAATTTTTCTCATAAAGTCATCTCATTAAAGGTCTTAACTTCTCTCGTTCTTCAAAAACGTTGATATTTCAAAAGAAATGCATTGGAGGCACCATGACCTGGCTTCTGGAGCAAGTTGCATTTCATGGTCCTTTGCTACCAACTTGCCTTTTGACAAATGGGATTCTAAAAATGTTTAATTTTTGTGTTTGGAATCTGGATGTTAACATTTAATTTGTAACTGAGTCTGAAAGCTATAATGTAATGCATTCCTATCAGAACTAGATATCTTTTTTCTTTTATTTTAAAATAATAATTGCACCTGACACATGAACACGGACCACCCACAAACAAAAATAATGTTTGGTGAGATAAATATAGTATTACATGACCACAGTAACAGCAAATAGGGCACAAACCAGATTCTTATTTCACATAACCATTTAGATTACCAAAGAGACTGTGTGTAAACAGTCATCATTATGGTACTCAAGACACTAAAATAGCTTCTAGCAAAATGTATCAAAGCTTCAGAGGCCAAAAATAGAAAACATCTCCCTCCCTGCCCTCCTATATCCCCTCTAGCACCCATATCTTAACAGAGAGAAAGACAGAAACCTTTTTGAAAGGAGTGATGAAATTCTCCTGCCTTTTAAAATGACATCTTTGCTTGATATTGAAATACAATTCTCATCCCCTTTGCAACTACTGAAGAAAAACAGTTCCGGCCTTGAATGTTGTAGATTTTTTAAAAAAAGCAGTTGAGATGCTGGGCCCTCTGCCTCTGTGGAAAGTGTGGGCTCTGGCCCACAAAGTTAAGGTGTATCAGCCAACAAATTTGTGTTCATATGAGCATTGGTTCTGAAAAGACTCCTCCTAAAGATGTAGAATCACGCCCTCCTCCTACCTCCCAAAAGGCTTAACAGTGTATAGTATGTTACATTTGAATAAAAACAATAAAAAATGCTGGGAAAAGAAAATAAAAATATTGTCCTTGTTTGTTTTATTGCCGTAAAACTCTACCTAGTAACGAGAAGAGAGGCTCAAGTGTTGTGTGCCTGGCAGGATGTGGTTAAATGCCGCCACCCCCCCCAAGCCCCAAACAACAACAGAAAAAAAAAAAAAATTACTCAAGCATTTGTAAGGTTTCTTTAATGTTTCACATGTGTGAGTCAGCTATCCTCACTCTAATAACAACCAAATGCTTTCGATTTTTCCTAAGTATTCAGGTCCACCTAGTTTACACAGTGGATAAAGAAGAATGAATTGAAAACAAGGATGGCTTGTGAAACAATGAAAAGCTTTTGGAGGAAAGCCAGGAGGCTGCAAAATACAATTTCAAGGGGGTGGAGTAGGCCAGTGAATTTGGTTTGAAAAGTAGAGAGAAAAAAATACATACTAATGCAAGTTGCTTCCAGGGCCCAAGCAATTTTAAATAATTTAAAAGGATCAACATTTATGCTGCACAGTCCTCATAATGTAGATGTTAATTCAGAGTTTATGATTATCCAGTGAAGTGAAATTTACCTTTTTATCAGGGAATGACTTAGTTGGTCCAAATTTTGTCTAATAAAGATAGGCGTAGGAAGGTTGAAATGTTTAAGAGATGCCTGTACATTAGCATATACACCTGCAAACAAATACCATGTGGATTAAGAGTTCTTGTCTATTTCATTAGACAAGAATTTTGAAACTTAAAAATGCAAAAAAAAAAAAAAAAAGAAAAGAGCAAGAGGGAGAGGATATCTTGGAAGTATGCTGGGAGAAAAGGGGGGAACGTTTAGTTCTATGGGAAATGAGGCAACTCAGATCTGCTTCCTCTCAGACACTCGTTTCCTCTGATCTCGATTGGCTTTATTCCGTTGGCGGCTGCTTGCCTCCAATTTACTTCTTTACAGCTCCAAAATCCAAAATTCCTTTTTCTCAGGATCCAAAGATGACATCTGAGCTGTTACTCATATTGGCCAGGTGTGGATAACATGCCAACCTCTAGAGCAATCACTAGGACAAGGGATTTGGGCCTTGGGATTGGCCCATCATGACCACAGAGGAGCAAGGTGCAGCTTTTGGCAGCCCACGCACTTGGCAGTGCTGAAGAATGGTGTGCTAAGGAGAAACCAGAACTGGGCAGGTGCAAAAACGAAATGGTTGTTAGCTGCATCTATTGAAATGAGACTACTGACAAACATAGTTTTTATTCCTGTGTTTTTCCTCACTGATTCTAATTAGTCTTTGCCTATTTGTCTAAATTAGAGAGGTTTAAAGCTGTTTCTTGTTCATACATTCTCTAAATGGAAAGATTATATTTGTGTTGTTTTGGTTTAAGCCAAGGGTAGGACCCTGAATATAGCCAGGTTCTCTGAGTTTCTGAAAACTTTATAGAATGATAATTGGGATGAATGCCACTTTTCACGGAATTAAAAAGCTGATCTTCCCACTAAATATCAACCTGTATCACAAAGTGATGTTATAAATATGTCTCTATGTTTATCCCGATTGTGTAACTAGTATTTTCAAGTATATCAGCATATAGAAAAAACTCTGAGACACCGATGTCGTTCATTTTCTTTAAATTGTAAAATAAAAAGAGGAAAAAGAAAAGGCCTGTTTATGTCTTTTACTACGTCTTGGATATATGCAACATGTGACAGAGGGAAACTTTATGACTTGCCTTTCTCTTTCCTTTTGCAGATTAGGAAAAAACATAAAACATAAAATGCCCTTGCAGGTCGATAATCTACTGAAAGCCGCTTTGCAAACACTATGTATTAGCTAAAATGGAATAATCATGATCAAACTAATGAGATCAAAGGAATTAGTCTCATTCCCAAGTGGCTAATAGTGAACATTTCCACGAGCCTGTTCCATGATAGCAACTAAGGGGAACAATTCTATAGTCAGAGGGAAGCCATATGCCAACCATACATGCATGTGGCATGGATTATCTTACACGTTTTTATTATCCTCCACAAAAGAGCCTGTGTTCATTTTTTAATATAGGCAATTGCATCCTCTAGAGATGAGCACAGCGAATGAAGAATCAAAACATCCCATGTTCCTCATTACAACTTTAAATTAAACATATGCCTTTGTACAACTTAAGCAGTGACCCCAGCTGTGGAATAACCAACAGCAGTGTGGCCTTACCCCTCCTAAAGTTTGGTTTTAATTACCTTATACACATTGAATGCCCAAATCATCTTACAATTTTCTAAATTATTTAGTTATCATTTCTGTGGTCAATTTAAGCTGCTGACAATGCAAATATTCTCAGAGAGGTCCTTCAAGAAGAAGAAAATGAAAACCAGTGTTTCATGAGGTATTATAAATGAAAAAGACGGGATTTTTATAGCTATGAGATGCATTAAGGCTAGGGCTTCCATCAATTCAATGTAACATTAAAAATATCGTAATATCAGATATTTAAACACTAGAGTTCTGGATAGTCTTTTTTTTTTTCTTTCAGTGACACGATCAGTATGAATATCAGA